TGTCCATGAAATCATCAAAAAACAAGCTCAAAAATCAATTTAATCACAACAACTGGCTTCACTTACCATGGAAGAGCCAAACAAATCAATCACATCAGGATTGAACATGATGGCTTGGATTATGCGGCATGTAGAGACGAGAGCTTAATTTGAAAAAGGGCTCAATGAGAAATTACCATTTCACTCTTATCTTGGCACGTTGTGCAAAGGCAGCATGGAGGCTGAGGATCATTTATTCTCGAGCAGATGTTCTCGATTGGAACTGGAGCTAGTCAAAGGTCAGTTCCTGATTTCCAACACCGATTGAGCACAACATTTCTGTTTTTAAGTGAGACAGTTGTTATGTGAATTTTGCTCCATTGTACGACCTTTCTTGCCACTTGTTAACTGAATCACTGCCTTTGTTAACCTAGTAACACAGTTGTTAAGTGAACCTGGCTTCCCCATTGACTTTGCTTGTCAGAAGGTCCAAAAGGGGATCCCCATAACCCTGGGACATTGCAACCGTCATAAATATGAGCCAGTTGCCAAACATCTGAATTTTGATCACATGACCATGGAGATGTTGCAAGGGCCATAAGCGTGAAAAATGTTCGTAAGTCTTTTTTTTTTTTTTCAGTGCTGTTCCAACTTCAAATGGTCACTAAACGAGCTGTGGTAGGTCGAGGACGACCTGTCCTCCATTCCTCAGCCACACCAGGCTATCAAAATCTCACAAGTTCGTTGAAAACTCTTGAGGGTGGAGTAAAGCAAGTCCAAAAGTAATGCTAGAAAGACGGAGGAGTAAGATGTTCGTCCTGACAAACTGCCTGAGCATTAGTCTCAACCACAACACGATTCTATTCGGTCTCCCCTGAGAGGGCAAACAATACCAGTGGTAACAAAACAGTTTTTCACACTGGCCTAAAATGCTGACAGGCTGAGAGTTGAGCTAGAAAAGAATGCCAGCGCCCTCTGGCGATCGCAAACTCCGGCTGTTAAAAAAAAAAATTATGACTGAAGGTAGACCGAAGTATAGATTTCTTGCTAACACAGCTTAAAGGCATGAAAGCATAAAGAATGTTTTACCAAGAAATGAGAGCCTTTATTAAAACAAACACAGGAACGATACAATAACAAGAGCTGATGCAATCATCTGGTATTATAAAACTGTGGCCCTTTCCAAGTTTACTGTTACTTAAAAGATTCTAACTTAAAAGACAATAATAATGACTTTGTCAACTTGAAGCCAACACAAAATACTTTTAGGCTGGGTTATTTATTGACCGATGCCATATAACCGCGCACAGGAGACAGGGGCTTAAAAAGTCAACTAAAAATGAGAAGATTACAGAGTGCTGGGGATATAAATTAATGCGGCGTATTCAACGTGTTCCTTTCCAACGAATATTTCTAACTTCAATATAGCATCTTATTATCAGTCAACAAACTAGAAGCATCACTCCTAATTAAACATCCCGAGGCTCACTTAGAATTCCATGGACGCCCACAAGAAATGTTCATAGAAGCTGTGAGATAGATAGGTTGAAAAGCAGAGAAGCTAAACAGCACCAGCTCACGGATACACACATACATACATACATACATACATAGCTGTCATTGAGAATTGACCAATCAACCAGTCATCAATCACTCCGTTGGTTGTTTTCCTCAGTTCCATGACCAATTAAGAAGGCCCAAAGTTGTTGAGCCAGTCTCCCAGAAACAAGCTACGTATCAGAAAATGATTCCCCCCCCCCAAATTTATTAGAAGCAATAACGGGCACACGCATTCCAGAAACCCTTTGCATTTCTCCAAAAACATATTGTTCCAATCCATGTTCTTTCTAAAAGATCCCAAATAGACAAAAGGGCAAGACGTTCTACTTGATAGCTAGCTATGCATAAAAAAGGAAAACCTTTCTCTGAATCACTTCTCCTGTTTTTTATTACTTTAATCTAAATACAAATCTTTAATTAGCGGGAAGGAATAGATAGATAGATAGATAGATAGATAGATAGATAGATAGATAGATAGATAGATACAGTACTAATTATACTTGGCCAGATTAATACATGTATGCATTTGCTTGAGTATAACAAGAAAGAATTATGTATGGTTGAATTTCTTTGTTTACCCTCCTTGGATCCATACGCAATTACTTGATGGTAAACATACATTTTGTCAGGTCACCTCTATCTGCAGTGGTTCTTGCCCTGCCCTCAATAAGAAATTACCCGTCATAATTTTGATTAAATTCTTATCGTTTCCCGGAGTATTGGTGCTGATTGTAGCAGTTCGTTGCGCTAATGAATTTAGCCAAATGTGCAAACTTTTGAGCATTTCTGCAAAGTCAGGCCTGAATGAGGAATGTATAAATAGTGTTTCCACGTCATCCTATTCCTCTGGTTGCACTATCGGAATGGGGAGTTTTAAATAGAAATTCTATAATGCAGAATTGGAACCGCCGCACATTAATCAAAGACGGCAAGGGGAGCTTCGTTGGCATTGGCGAGGAGCGTCTTGTTTTTGTTTTTAAGTTTGCAGACCCATCTTCTCCTCTTCTTTCAGGCTGCAGTGAGGTCAGCCGCTTTGCAACTGCACTCCCACAAATATTTTCTGGGGGCTGAGACATGCCATTTTAAAATGTGCTGAAGCAGCCCTAAGGAGGGTCACAATCTGCAGGTTTTGCCTGCATTCAAATTTCACCTCTATCTCTTTTGCTAGCCCTGGATTGTGCTGAAGCCCAGCTACCCAATGCAGCATGTAACAAAATAGTTCCACATCCATCCCTTCGTGACATTTTCCCAGTCCCTTCTTCCACAGATAGAAAAAGTAAATAAGAACTGCAGATATAGTTCTCACCAGAACAACTCTTTAGGTTTAATTGTCACACAAAAGCTGAACTCTTTGGCAAATATTAACTGAAGAGCATCATATATTATCTAAGAAGGATGGTATATTTTTCGAACAGTAATGGTAGTGCTAGGGGGATAAAGTGTGTGGAGGGGAGGAGGAGTTGGAAGGGGAGAAGGAAGAGGAGGAGGAGGAGGAGGAGGAGGAGGAGGAGGAGGAGGAGGAGGAGGAGGAGGAGACGACAACAAAACAAAAAGAGGACAGTCAATGCTTTCAAGCTTCATGACTCTGTCTACATCTGCAAAAACCCTCTGACTTGAGTATCTCTCTTTTATGACCCTAAGTGATAAAAAAAAAATATTAATTTCTTAACCCTTACTTAGTGGCCCATGAAATGCTCATTGTGCCATTTCCAAAAATGAACACAAAAGTTCCTGAGAACGTAAAAGCAGAGCGGAGAAAACTGTTTGCTTTCTCCTATTTGGAAGTTAAAAGTAGCTTTTTGAAAAGAGTGACCTGATTTTCTTAAAAAAGGCATGCCTTTGTGTCTTCGATGGGCAAATGCCCCTACCACTTAGTTGCAGCATTCTCTTTTCAACACCCCCCCCCGCCAAATAAAAGTATAAAAAGGGGAATTCTCCTCCTCCCCAACTCCCATCTTCTTCTTCCATCCAATCTCTCTCTCTCCCCCCGCACCCCGCCAACTAGCTTCTCCTTTCCGCTCAGCGCCCAGTGAAATAAATATTTAAAGGCACCGATGATCCATGGGCATCGCTCCAAAAGGTAAAGTTGTTCTCCTGATGATGTCAGATTGCAAGATGGGGGGAGGAGGGGGGGCTCTTGAGGGCCTCCCAGGAAAAGGACCGTTATGCAGAAGGGAACCAAACGGCTTTCTAAGCCAGCTTTCTTTCCACCTTCGGCCGTGGCTCAGATTTCCTAAAGATCAGCCAAAGGGTATAACGATTTTCCGACCAAAGCCACAGAGAGAGACGGGGGGGGGGAGGCGGTTGGGAGCAAGGATGGAGCCGTTGGCCAAACCAGAATAAAAGTCTCTCTGATGGATGGGGGGCGGGAGGGGGGAATCTCCCGAATCCCGGTTTGGAAAACGTCTGGCCGCTTTCCCGTCTCCCCTTCACACGTATCTACACGGAGAATATTTGGAATGGAAGCATTTCCTATTGAGATTCTCCCCCCCCACACACACACACATAAGAAGAGACCGCGGAGTGGAACCACTTTTTCTCCTACGGGCTTGCTCTTCATCGGAACGCGCAGTCGGTCTCGACTGGGCTTCGCAAAGGCGCCGCCGGAGATTCAAGAGCTGCGCGCGCGAGGAGCCGCGCGCTCACACGCGCGCACAGACACACGGCGCGCGCGCCCGGCAAAAAAACAAAAAAAAAACAAAAAAAAAAAACCCGGCGGAATCGAGAACTTAAAAAAGATGGGCTTTGTAGTCCCCAAACGGGGAAGGGCGGGGATTGGAGCAACCCGAGAGAGAGCTCAAGATGCCTTCGGTGCCACGCACGCACATCCCTTTTCAATCCATCTCTGGATTGTTGCGCCGATTTAGATGGTCTTCAACCTCTTAAGCTCCGCTAGCCCCGTTCGGCCAATTATGGTCGCGCGGGTGCCAAAATCAAGGAACGAAATAAAGAAATCTCACTTTAACACAAACACAGAGAGAGAGAGAGATACACGAACAGAGGAAAGGGGGGACTGCGAGCCCCCAACGCCCCCTCCCCAGGAGGCTTCAATTTCAGCCTCCGAGTCTGCCCTGCGCCTATTTAATTCCTCTCCAGCCCTTTTCGCTTGGTGACCCCCCCACCCTTCCCTTTAAGCTCCGTGTCGGGCTACAAGGCACTTTCCAGCCCCCCAAGCTTCCCGCACCCCACCCCGCTTCTCTCCCTGCTCCTCCCGACGTCCTTGATGGCCGGGGCGAACCCCAAAGCTCTGGTCCAACTCCTTCCGCAGCATCCTTCTGCCCCGTCGGCTGGCAGAGCAGCAGACTTCCCCCCTTTTCATCCCCAGTCTTTCGCTGTCTCTCTCTCTCTCTCCTCTTCCTTTCCAAACCCGTCTCAAAGGAACCTAGAATTTAAGAAACAACACCCCCCTTCCCCAGAAATTTAGGGGGGCCCCCGAGGGCCAGCGGGAAGGCAGCCGTTACCTGGAAAACTGGCGGCCCCCAGATCCTCCCCGGATCACCTCTGGAGAAAGGCGAGCAGACGAGTCCCATTCACAAGTAGAGGCGCAGTGTCTGCTGGTTCGCTCGCTCTCCAGCCTATTCCACTCCGCTGGCAACGCGGCTGAATGAGGCTCGGAGCTAGTGG